TTCCAAATAGTCTTTTAGCACAAAAGAAGTTAGGATAACCTCTCCTTTTGACAGGCTTAAGAAAACTTGCACATACAAGTACAGCTCTTCATGTTTGTACATCTCACATTTAAACTCATTCCCTCACATTTAAACTGCAGACCAAGTCCAAGCTATCTGCCACAATCATGGTCCTCTGATTAAGAGATTCTTCTAAGTGTGCCCAACAATTTTCACAGAATCAAAGAACAGTTTGAATTGGAAGGGACCTTTCAGAGGTCACTTAGTCCAGTCCCCCTGCAACGAGCAGGAACATTTGAACTAGAACAGTTTGCTCAGAGCCCCATCCAACTATTATGTGAAAAACTTGAGGTTTTAGGCTGAAACTACTGGTTCCAAAGTTTTCAAAGACTCACAGATATCTACCAGCCAAGTAAGAGGATGTTTGTTTTATAGTCCTTCAGTATTCAAGCTGTCTTCAGCTAAATTAAGAGACCCATCTCTATATGCACCTTGATCATTATAGGGTCTGAGTGTGAACTGGAAAATGAACCTTATCTTAAATTACTCTGTCAATTTTCTACAGAGAGATCCTAGATAAACAGGTACATTGGCAGCAGAGAAAAGCACAAGAAAAGAGAATATTTATTTCCTTTACTATTCTTCACGCTATGTTTCTGTTGGGCTTATTTAATTTTATTATTCTTGTTAGTAAAACTGAATATCCACGACTAAGGCATTGAGGAAACACAGCACTGTTTGCACTGCAGACCATTAAATCTTTGTAAATCAGCCCTGGAATATCAGCCTTTCCAATACATCATTATCTTTTTGCATGGTGAGTTGCTCTAATTGCAAACTGCCTAGATGAGATCCCACCCATGCATTGTAAAATCACCACAAAGCATAATTGGATGAGTTTTAACCATTCTTGGCAGTGATCAATCTCTTCTACCTCAGTAGCTTGTGAAGGTATTAAAGGAAAAGATGTGTATAAAAGAAGGTACTGGCTACTTATTTTTACAGTGAGAATAAATCCTTTTTTGAATGGGGAGGAGCAGGGAATCTCCAGCAATAAAAATGTTAAAAAAAAAAAATCCATGAACCCATTAATGACTCTAAAATGCCTTTTGTTTCAACAGTTTCACTGAGTTGCCTGCCAGTAGCCACACAACACACAAACAATCTATTAAATTCAATTTTTCCCTCAAATTTAACATATTTTTAAATATGTTTTCACTTCTCGCCTAACTAAAGTGAGACCTTCTACTCTTCTAAATTGGGCTCGTGTCCACTTCTTAACTTCCTTTCAAATGTGTTCATGCAAACAGAGGACAGTTTGCACTGGATCTGGATCTGGATGCAGAGTCAGTGTCTGACACTGCCTGCATGCTGCTTGTTGTTTGTGTATGTCCAGCTGTTTTTCAGAACAACGATGCTCAGCAGCTTGTGGGATGGACTGGATGGATATGGATGGACATGGACATGGATATATGGTCATGGATGTTTTTTAAATGTGTTTATTGGTTTTGCAAGTTTTTGTTTACCTGTTATTGCTGTGGGAAAAAAAAAAAAAAGACATAACTGGAGATGTTCAGATCTTTAAAGTGTCATAAAATGCACAACAAAAAATCACTGACACCAAGAACAAGCCAAAGAAGGCAGCTCTCTATATTTAAAACTGGTGTCATAAAACATTTAAATGCTTTCAGAGTGTGTGGCTTTCAGCTTTTCATGCAGATAAGTGTCAGACTGTCAGGCATCTTTGCTTAAGGAACATGACACTAACTATTAAATAATTTCTCTTAGTTTCCTAAGAAAACTGTCTGGTTAAATATTTCTTATCAAAAATAAAGCTTGATTCATCTTCTCATTCATCTCACCTTTATTAGGTACTAACCTAGTTACTCAGGCAAGTGTATAGAAGTGTTTGATTTCTTTTTTTTTTTTTTTAAGAAAACTTCCATAGCAATGTACCAGCTATTTATGCTTTTGGAAAATATCACTATCCATTCCTATTCTTAGAGCAAGTTACACCAGCATTTATTGCAAGGATACTATCCCTCATGGAGACCATAAAAACATATATTAGCCAACTTAAGTGGGATAAGTGTCTCAGAGAGAAGGGGAAGAGGAAAGCAACTAACAATATTTTACAGATTCAGATAACTTCTTGGTCCTCAGATCTTCCTGTATCATTACTTTGGCTCTAGAGTTTGGGGTCTTGTTTGGGGTTTTTTATTTGGCTTAGGGACAGAGGGGTAGGCCTGTGAGGGTTTTGGGTTGGTTTGATTTTGATTTTCTTTTGGGGGTTATTTTTTTATTTTGCTTTCTGTTTGGGCCTTTTTTGCTAAGTGATTCTTTCTCCTTTTACCTCATCTCACTAGGAAGGAGCCCCTTCCAATTGCCTCCAACTATGCATATGTTGTTCCGTTATGGTGGTACTGAGATTTCTCAGAATAGTTCTGTCCATCCTTCTCCAAAGTTGTTAATCACACAAAAATATTTCAGTAGTGATTCCTACAGCTGTATTCACAGTTTCTGCAACTAAAATACAATCCTTCTCTGGTATTATCTTGGGTTACCCTTGAGGCTTGTCCTGGATTCCAGGCAGACTCTTTGAAAAGGAATAAAATCAAGACCACACACACCTTTCAGTCTGTCCTTTCTCTCCTGTTCTAGTGAAACTAGGGCATCTTCCACCAGTTCAGGATGACAGGATGGCTTGAAAAGGCTGAACTTTCCTTTGAAGTATAGGGCTCATTTTAGTGGATTTAGTTTGAAATCAGATGGTTTCAGTTTCTTTGCACAAAAATGGGCTGCTAAATTCAGGTGACATACCATGAGGTACTGCCCTCTCCTGAGTTTTCTCTGCACTGGGGAACACCAGTACAGCCATGTATCATTGGAGACTGTCTTCTAAATTTTCAAAATCATTGGAGTTGCATTGATGAACTTACAACCTTTATTTACTTTAGCACTGTCATTATTTTATTCATACTTCTGTTGAGCTTATTGTTATTGTGTAGCTGAGTTATTGTGTAGCTGGTTTCTGAGTCCCCTGTATTTTTCATCTCACCTCCTTGAGTTCCAGGTTTCCCTTTTAAGGTAAAAACATTTAAATTATTTGTAAGTCTGTGGTTCTGCAGTTGTAAGAATGGCACTTTGCCATTCACTGTGATGCTGAAACTCCCATTGGGCTCATAGTCATACCCTGGTTTATTACTAGCACTGCTTTCTGTTGTTACACACTGACTTATCTCCTGAATTATTTCCATCCTAGGGCAGAAGGGATAAATCTCTAGACACATACGTTTCATTTGTTTTAAATAACAAAATATTAGACAGAATACATTCTTTAATGTGACCACATCAAATCCAATGAATTCAAGTATCCTTTTTCATCTCTAAAAACACCAACATGCCTTCTCTCTCACAGGCATAGAAGTCCTGCACAACTTTCTTCTTTTATTTGTTTTCACTAATACAAAAATCAGTTCAATGGCATAAAGACCTGCTTGTCAGTGGCTTGCAGCAGTACAGAAAAGCCTGATCCCCTGGGTTTGTTTCTGTTATGGGAAATTATTACACTGCAACATATGCTAACTTTTCTTGGGACTGGTTACTTTTTCATAGGCTTTTTTCAAACTGGAATTCAAATTGTGTTCCCTTCATTACCGTTTCTTACATTATTCCTCTGAATTTTTAATACCTTTATTTGAATTGGTGTATGAACTTTATCATCCCCCCAAATCCACACGTATGATCTGCCAGTCCACAAATCAACTTTCCAATAAATGTTTAATCAATTTATGCTAAAATAGCCTTTTAATGTAGATTTCCAAAAATGTTAGGTTCATGGAAGCAGTCAGGAAATTGTCTTTGTCTGTCCACCTAACCATTTTTCTATTTTTCTGTTACTTGCAACAAGATGCTTAAAAACCTGTCTATCAGCATCCTCCCTCTTCAGCAGTGTAATGAAAATAGCAGCTGTAGAGGTGTCCCAATGCAGCAGGCTTGCCTACTAACAGGAGAAAAAAAATCTACAAGGCTTATCAGACACATGACAATCCACTGAGGAATGAGTGAGCAGAAGTACTCATATTTTAAGAAACTCTTCACACAACTTGCATGATACAAGACCCATCAAAACAGATGCAAGCTTAGCTGTTCCTGCAGTTTGTGGATTGCACAATGTCTGGGGACATACAGAGAGGTGTTTAGGAGGAAAGTCTCATCTTTTCACATGCTTTGCAGGGTCACTAGTTAATGTTTAGTTAGTTGGTGTCATAAGTGTTGATGTTTAAATAAGTCAAATGGAATAGGCTCCAAAGGCATCTATTTTTCCTTAACAGCCATGAAAGCAGCTCAGGAGCAGGCATCTGTGTCACAGACACCTGTAGGTACATTCAGTCCAGTGCATCCACTTCCATCATCTCTCTGTGTGCAGGTAGGAGTAGTACTATTTTGGAGGGACAATTTGGTCTATCACTACACCCTGCTCAAACCAACAGATGTCAACTGTTTAGGGGCCCTGGTTTTGTCCCCTACTACCACTGGGGGAAAAGGGCTGCTCCAAGTCTCAGCAGTGGAAGTAGATCCAACACCTTTTACTGTGATTGTGCCAGTGCACTCCAGAGAATGACCGTGCAACTCCACCAGTGCCAGTGGTGTCACAGGGGAAAATGTGTTCAGTAGAGAAAAGTGCCTGTCCACCCCTAGCAGGACTATCAACCCCTCTATGTGAACCATTTTTGATTTCATAAGAGGTGTGACTTGAGCTATTTATTTTTGTAGGAAGACCTACTGTGTGCTAACAGGTAATCTTCAGAAGCATGTATTTCAGTAATGAGTCCAGCTTGTTCCTAAATAAGGTGTATTGAGCAAGTGGTTTAAAAGGGATTTGGTAGTACCAGGTGTGGCTTGGTTACGAGCACACCCCACCATCCTTGCTGCTGCTGCAACATGAGTGGGCTGGACTGTCACTGTGCTCTAAGCTCTGATCTTTTCCATGTTTGCAGGATTTCACACTCCAGCCTCTGGGGATGCCAAGGAAAGCAGCATGGAGAAGAATTGTTCCTGTGGGCCTCAGTAACCCTGAGATGGCTGTCTCAAGCAGCAGGCACTGGCAGGGCAGGGCTGACCCTTTTGGTGTGGTGGCTGCCTCCTCGAGGAGCTGGCTGCCTGAGCAGAAGATGAGTGAGTCCCCTCTCAGCTGGTTCAGAGGGGCGTATTTACCTCCTGCTCTGCACCCATTAAACAAGACATTTGTCAAGGGTGGTGAGTGGCAGGACATAGACAGCACCCAGGAAAAGCGCAGGGCCTTCCTGCAGGGCATCTGTAGGAAACACAATAGCAGAAGGAAGCTGCAAACCCATCTGGTGCACCTGGTGTCAAGAATTTACGTAGAGGACAGGCACAAGGTTTTGTACTGTGAAGTGCCAAAAGCAGGCTGCTCCAACTGGAAAAGGGTCCTCATGGTGCTCAGTGGACTCGCTGCTTCAGCAAACAACATCTCCCATGATGATGTGCACTATGGAAAGCATCTAAGGAAATTGGACAGTTATGACCTAAAAGGGATCTACACACGCTTGAACATGTACACCAAGTTTATATTTGTACGTGATCCTATGGAAAGATTGGTATCTGCCTTCAGGGATAAGTTTGAACATCCAAACAGCTATTACCATCCCGTATTTGGGAAGGCAATAATAAAAAAGTATAGACATAATGCAGATGAAGAAGCACTGAAAACAGGATCGGGAGTTAAGTTCAAGGAGTTTATCCAGTATTTGTTGGATTCCCACCGACCAGTAGGAATGGACATTCACTGGGAGCAAGTCAGTAAGCTCTGCTATCCCTGCCTCATCAACTATGATTTTATAGGAAAATTTGAAACCCTGGAAGAAGATGCCAATTACTTTCTGCAGCTGGTAGGTGCTCCAGCCAATCTGAAGTTCCCTAAATTCAAAGACAGACATTCCTCTGATGAGCGAACAAGTACAGAAGTAGTGAGGCAATATTTAAAGGAATTGTCTAAGGAGGAGAGACAGCTGACCTATGACTTCTATTACTTGGATTACTTAATGTTCAATTATACATCACCACTTGTATAGCACTAGAATAGCTTCAGGCTTCTACTAGATACTTATCATGTTGGGATTCAAAACAACTACTTTGATATTAGCCCTGAAAGGAAACAAAGTTACTGCTAAGTAGAGTTGTCTTGAATTAGTGGGGATTTTATAAGCTAGAGTGGTATCAATTGATACTAAATTATGGAGAATGCAAAGAAAAAAGACCTGCAAACAGCATAGATTGCACTAAAATGCCTGGAAAAGCTGTTTTTACCATTATGGATTATATTATGGAAGCAGTAGCTCAGACAGCTGTTGCATTAGCTTACCTAATGTTCTTTTAATGGTTTAAGAAAAAAAAATTGGAGTGGCATGATTCTTTTTTGGTATGTTTTCTTTAGAAATGGATTTTGAAAAAATTTTGAATGTATTTTTACTTTCTGTCACTTATTAATAAATGATCATAGGCTAATTTTTTTAAATGTTTACAGTGTTCTCAGTTGCAAGGTTTGTTTTTTTGATTACTATTAGACTGTTTTGATTACTATTAGCCAATTTTAGACCTGACCTTTTTATTGAAGGACACTCTTGAATGCAAATGTATCAAACTAAAAATGACACAGCAGCTCAGCTGATGAGCAGAGTAGATTTGGGTAAGCCTGTGAAGGACCAGTCCACTGCCTCAGTTTGATTGAGGCACTGGAATTGACAAGTATGACCCTCCTTTCAGAGAGCTGCTGCATTCAACAAAATTAAAATTTTGATGCACAATGGATGCATATGATACCTCCATACTGTGGTCTCAGTATTCATGGTAGTCTTTATTTTTGGTAAAATGGACTAAGTTTCATCCTGGCAGCTCTGGGATATTCTAAGGTCTGTACTGAGAAGCTATTTCAATGCAACTGCTGTCACTATTCTGGGTCTGCGGGGTCTGGTTATCTGCCCAGCTCCCAGCAATCTGTTACAGAGAAGGTGTGTGTGCCTATTGCCTCCCAAACCTATAAACTCATTCTGCCCCCACAGCTTCCTGAAGTCACTTGTGTTTTGCTGTCCTGCCTGCCTTGTCAGCAGTCCCCAAGCCCAAGGAATGGGGTGCATGGTGCAATTTTATGTGGTGTAATGTGTATTGGTGATTTGTCCTAGAGGAAGATGGGTCCAGAATCCCACAGGCCTGGTTTGAAAAGGAAAAGATTCTTTCTACCCTTCCCTTCCCTCTCCTCCAACAAGTGCTGCCTGACCAAAACATGCAGTTCTTCCTGCAGCCTGTCTTGCCCAGTGGGTGGGCCAGGGTATCCCAGGAGGAGGAGAAATCTCTGCAAAATCATAGGATCATGGAACTATTGAAAAAGTCTCTAAGATCATCGAGTCCAACAATTAACCTAACACTACCAAGTCCATCAGTAGACCAAATCCCTAAAATGGATAGGGAAAAATCTCAATGTCCTTCCACAATAAAGGTGCCCCCTATGCCTTTCTTTCTGAAATGGTTTGGTGTATCTTTCTCCAGTGCCTTGATGTAGGGTGAGGAAACTGCCTCAGAAGAGGAAAAAAAGCCACCTCCAGTCTCCATGGTGCCAGAGAGTAATCAAACAGGCTCTGCGCATCTCTCCTGGTGGCAGGATAAGCCACTCCAAGGGGAAAAGGCAAAAGTACACTGGGCAGCCCAAGCACGGGGTTGTGCTGTCTGAGGCTAGCAGCGCCCATAGCTTAAACCATTCTGTTCCTGGGGCCATGGAGCAAAGAGGAGAAGCAAAAAGCCATCCATCATCATGAAGTGTGGGGAGATGCATTTGCTGAGCACCAGCGAGAGGTTGCAAGGATGCCTTGGACAGGTAAACACACACATTGCTACTTGTGTGAGCTGTTGCTGTGCATGGGTGGACCTACAGGTGTTAACACCCAGAAGTGTTTGGGAGGGGATATCTGGCAATTGAACCTCCCTCATGCATGCTTCTCCTCAGGTGAACAAAATCTCCCCCTTTTAACACAGGATGGTGCTCGACTCCCACCTTCCCTGTCAGAAATCCCTTCTGGTTTTCCTGTTGGCTCCACAGCACATCTTGCAACTCAGGACTATTAAAGAAGACCTCCTGAAAGTTTTGATTTTGTACTGTGCAACCTTCTAAGTAATGTGAAAACTACCTTGGGTTTGACCTTGGTTTGACCTCTAGATTCTCTGCTCTTGTAAGTATTGGATTCAACCTCAAATCCTGAGTAAGTATCTCTTGCCTTATAGGAACATAACTGAATATAGTAAATTTAAATAAAAAATAAATATCCACCAACCTTTGGGCATCAATATATTTGCATTGTCTTGTCTGTTGTGGATGTGTGTTAATTAACTGATAATTTATAGACAGAAAAAATGACACACTAGTGGTACTAGTATTTTCAAAAAAGCACATGAGGAAAAAAGTGCAACATGCTAAAAAAGAATGGAGGCAAATTTATAAATTAGTTTGGTATGAATACTTTAATTCAGAGAAATAAATTAATATTAGTAAATTACAAAGTCTCTGAAGAACTTAAGCTTCACACTGAGTTCATTTTAGTAGCAAACTTTCTGCCTATCTAATCAGAGAATGACAGAGGTTTGGGGGGCAGCTTTAATTGCATTGAAAAAGCTACACAGTCTCATAAGATTTCATCTACTAGCAGGTCTTAGATAAAGCTATTATTTGAGTCAAGGAGGGAGCTGAAAGAAATTATTAGCAAATGTTTGGTTTCTGCAAATGATAGGGAAAATGACATTGATTTGCATACATCCGTGGACATGGACATCAGGTCCCCAGACTGTCATCTTGAAAATCTGGTATGGTTTGCATTTATGATTTAACAGGGGAGGACACTAGTCAAGGCTTTTAAAGCATGTATGAGCACAGAAGTGTAATTGTTTTAGCTGCACTGTTGTTCTATGGCTCTAGTGAAAGTAATTCAACTTCTTTGTACATTCAACTTCAAATTTCATAGCCCCTAACTGCACTTAAAAATTCATTTTTTGAAAATCTAACCCAGACTTTTGTAAAGAAGAGCCTCTCCATAGTCATGTTCAGCGACCTAAGGGATTCAGATGATCTCAGTAGCAGAATCTAGATTGTACTTTGCTTCATTAACCACATTTTGAAAATCACCAGCCTGCTTTGCCAGGAATTAAGTTACATGATTTAAAATTAACATAAGAGTTTAGCATAATTGAAGTGGGACTGTGATATCTGACTTATGGGATTATAAGAGATAAAGGCATAATTTGCAGCATAAATGATAACCTCTATTTTTAAAAGTAAAATTTAAAAGGTCAAAGTGGGAGGTTGGATTGTAACTTTGTTTATATTTGTAAGAATCCTGGGCAAAACAAAAGCTGAAGGTCATCCACCATAACTAGCATAAAATCTCATCTCCACAACTGTGCACAGATGTTTGTTTTACTCAGAAAATTATATATAATGTATGCAGAAGAGGAATGAAAATACACTCCACAACATTCAGTGCGATTACATCTACACTAGAGATCAGCTGCGGCATGCAGAGCCTCTTTTAAGGGGCTTCATTACAGTAAATGCTTTTTAGTTATGAACATTGCTTCATTTGAAGATCTCTAAGCACTTCTCTAATGCAGGTCAGTTGTCAGAGCAAGTAAAATGTGCTGTAAAGGCATTACAGGGAGTCTGTTGGGGGCTGGCATGGCAGGAGAGTGCTCCTTTGACTCATGTGTCTGTTCCAAACACCAGACAGTCACGCATCCCTCCTGAAATTAAAATTTGGTTTTTGGAACCTAATGTTCTACACCTGCCTTTCTTCTAAATATGAATCAGTATTAATAAAACCATAATTTTTAAAGAATAAACAAATTTAAAAGAATTAAACTTCATAGGCATGATGTATGCATAGGCATACATCAATATAAGGCAGCTTCTTTTTTCCAGGCAGAATTTGACTTGCAAAGCTCAAACATAGCCATTGTGCCCATCTATTCTAAAACTGCTGCTAAACTGTTGCTTGCTGGAAGTCAGAGCTGTGCAACCACAGTGCAATCAAACACAGCACATACTCCTGGAAATGTCCTCTGGTGGAATTCCCCCGAAAGGCCAAATTTATTGGAGCTACTCCTGCCTCAGGCTGTGCTATCTTGGTGATGTGCCATTGGAGATCACTGCTTTAATTTTAAATGTAGTTTAAATTTAACTGGAAATTGCAATATGACACTCTGTGTAAGTCTGAGAGGAAAATATTTTTCTAGAGCTTTGTATTGTATATGTAGGTTACGTATAAACATCTTTGTTGTATGTGCCTTAAGGCTAACAATGCATCAGAAAAGTCTTTTCTACTGTATTGCTAATACCAATTTATCAACTTTATAACTCCTGTGATGCCTTCAAAAGTATATTAATTTGGTCTTGGAACATAAAGTCTGAAATCTGACCATAAATCACTATATTTCATTAAAAATATGGATGCACCTGTCCTGTATCAACCAATTAATGTACAGTTCACAGGGCAGGGCAAGAACATACACTACTGGGAGGTGGAACTCTCTGATTTAGCAAAGGACATCTGTTTATATCCCCAGATACCTGAGAATGCTTTTCCTTTGGAAATGTGCAGAAGTGGGTAGATTCAAGAAGCAGTCATTAATTAGCTTAATGAGAATGTCATAGATTTTTTGGTTATCATATCATTCATACTTGTTTTAGGGGAGAACATTTGTGCTTTTGACAATACAGCTAATTGAAGTGAGTTCCACACGTCTCTTCAATGTTGGATGTAGCTCTGCTTGTGGCTGGAATGATGGAGAGGTCTGGGATCTTCATCCAGGTTCTGTAATTTCATACACTTGCTGGACAAACATGAAATGCTCTCTACATTGGTATCCCCGCTGGTAAAGTAGCCCTATAAATGGAAGGAAATTATACCATGTGTCTTCTCCTAAAATCATTAAACTGTGTGGCTAAAGAGCAGTGGTTAGAAATTAAGTATTAGTAAGGAATTTAACTCATGGATGTTCATTGCCTTTCTGTATGCATTACTTCCAACGGCTTGGACGGAGCTGGGGACTTCCCAGCTTTGCCCCAGCTGAGAAACACATCATTCATCTCTGCTCTGGGCAGTTGGCAGCCTTAAGAATGCAATCTCTGTCTCAAAACACTGTGCATCTGTCAAGCCTATCCAGGCTTAAAACCAGTGCCAGGATGTCTGACCAGGGGAAAGTATCCCTCTGGTTCCTTTGGGAGAGCAGACCGGGTGAAAATCTTGCCGTCTCTATTTATTCAGAGCACAGATGAAAGAGAAAGTGTTTTATTTTGGTGTAAATAAGTACTGTAGTATTTCTTTTACTGCAGTAGCTGTAAATGAAGTGATGCTCAGCTAGAGGATTCTGCAGAAGCAGTGGATCCCATCCAGGTATGCAAACTCCTGCCTTGTCCTAAACACCAGAGCTGCATGACCCAGTATGCAGTATATGACCCGTGTTTC